TGATCTGGGCTAGAATCTATCCTTTAATGACTTGCAGCACATTGCTTCAGGTTTTGTGGCTTCCATTATCTCCACTGAAAAGCTAGCTGTTATTCTGGTGGTCCTGCCTTTGTATGTAATTTGATCTTTCTCTCTTTCATCTTTCAATACCTTTTCTTTGTTTTGTAGGTTTAGTGTTTTCACTGTTATACGACATGGGGAGTTTCTTTTTTGGCCCAGTACGCCTGGTGTCCTTTATGTCCCTCACACTTTGACGTTTCTTCTTTAGTCTAAGAGATCAGGTCTCTGGTCGCTGACTGCATGCTGTTGTCTTTTCACAGCCAGCAGTGAGAGGAGAGGTTCTCTTCTCTGCAGGAGGCAGCTGGGTGCAGAACATCATGCAACAACAGCTTCTTCCTCAGCCTGCATCAGCAGTGCCATTCCAGAACTGATTCTAGAGGCTTTGCCTTGAGCTTGTGGTGGGAAGACCACGATGAAAATTTTATACATCACAAAACTCAAGTCAGATAAGCACTACCAGTTTCTCCCAATCTGTATTCTGTCATGGTACAAAGAGGGCACACTGACAGGTTTTTTTCTTGTCTTTCCTCATCTTGGGTAGCTCTATACATTCATGCAATGAACAGTGCTGAGACTCCAGAGCATCTCTGTTCACATGCTGGGCTGTCTCTGTGCAGCTCTCTACGAAGTTTCTCTGCTCTCACTCTTCTGGACTAGCCCCTCTTCTTCCTTACCTCAGTGGACCACAGGACTCCTCTGGATTTGTTGTTCCTGTGCTGGAATCCAGAAACTCATTTTGGAATGAGCAAGAGGTGAATTTCAATCTTGCTTCCTTATTTTTCAAACTAAAATTTCTATGCTTTCTCTTTTAACATCTAATAAAATTTTTATTTAGTTGTAATATCCATGTTGAGTAGCTTAAATAAAACTTTCTTCGTGGTGCTAAGCACACTGTATATTTTTCTTTTTTAAAAAAATTTTATTGACTTTTTGTGGATTTAGTACAGTATATCTTAATCATATTTGGCCCCCTTTTCCTATCTGCACCCCCCCCCATACCCGTCCACAAGACTTTGAGCATTTTGTCAAAGTCAAGTTTGTACATCCAGATGTCTCTTGGTGTGACTGCATCCACTGGAGTCTGTTCAACCTGTCTAGCATCACTCCCTTAAAGATCAACTCTTCCCTACCCAGCAATGATCAGTTGCCACAGTTCCTCACCATAGTTGTGATCTCTAGCCCATTTTTCCAGTTCTATGCTGGTTTGTGTCTGGTTGAGTTTGCATGAGTCCTGTGCATGATGTCACCATTACTGTAAGTTCATATGAGCAAGGTCCCAGGAGTCTGTACGACTGTTTCCTTATGGTCATACACCTCTTCCTCTGCTCTTACGATCTTTCCATCCCCTCTTTTGTAATGGTCCCTGAGCCCTGGGTGGGTGAAGTTTAATATAGAAGGCCTGTCCTGGAACCCACAATCTGCAGTCTTTTATTCTCTACACTTTGACCAGTTGTGACCTTTTGTGTTCATTGCCCTCTCTTGCATGCATG